TTACACCTGTTTGTAAAGGTGAATTCCATTTGCCCCGTCTATATGAAGTAAGCGAGTGCGTAATCCATGTGGTGGTAAATTAATTGGAATGTAATGAATAATTTTCGAAGCTTTTCTAGTATCCACTTGATTGATATCCTGTGTCAAGTAGATGAGGAAGTATGGATCTCTTTATTGTTCTAATTTGTCCCTTGTTCAACCATGATGGGTGATGCTCAGAAATTCGACAATGGAACTGCGTTATTGTACGCCCAATGTAACTATTTCCACAGGAGCAGTTGAATTGGTGAATGCACATGGAAGTGGTGGAATCCGGGCAGTTTGTCTTTATTTCTTGCACCTGGAATCGAGCAGTTGTAGAAGATGGAACTTTACGGTCTACCAAAGCTGCATAAAATTGGTCTGCCTATCTGACCAGTTCTCGACATGACTAACTCTCCCTAACATACAACGCCAAAATGGTTAGTAAGACTCTTGAAGCCTCCGTACAAAGAAGCTGTGAAGTAAAGTCTCAAAGATACCTTTGAATTTCTGGAAAGACTGAGAATTTGAAAGTAGATAATAAGTTAATGATATCGTATGATGCTTCATTTCTTTTTATTAAGATTCTTTTCATGGATCTAGTTGACTTTGTTTGCATCGAGCTCACGAAGCATGGCATGGAAATAGGTATTCCAGTCTCCATATTGAAAAAATCACTTCTAAAGTGTACGATGAACGCATAATTCCTTTTCAGTAATGAACTGTACAGACAATCTGATGGTGTTGCTATAGGGTCACGCACTGGCCCGCTCTTAGCAGATTTTTTTCTGGCAAAACTAGAGAATGGTCCACTGAGTTATATTTTCGTTACATGGATGATACCTTTATAATTCTCAAAAGTGAGATTGATAAGAAAATACTGTTCTGCTGTTCATCCCGCAATCAACTTCGCAATGGAAGAGGAGATAAATGACAGTATCCCATTTCTTGATGTTTTGTTGGTAAGAGGGTCAGATGGAACCCTGAAGCGAACTGTTTATAGAAAGCCAACATCAACAGGTCAATACACACAATTCTTCGTTACCGTACCCTTCTCATACAAAAGGGACCTGGTGAAGTGTCTAGTATACTGTGCCACAGCTATTTGCTCAGATGATGCTATAAAGGAAGTGTGCCACCATCCGTGATCTGATTAATAAGAATGTCTACTCAGTCAATATGGTTGTTACGAGGGTTAAGACAAGAACGCCAACAGTTCCCAAGAAACAAATCTTCTTGAAGCTAAAATTCAAGAGTGACATTGCCAGTCAGATCATCACACAGCCCTTAAAAAATCTTCCATAAAGCCTTCCCAGCCGCTAAATTATGTCCCATCTTCTACAACTGCTCGATTCCAGGTGCAAGAAATAAAGACAAACTGCCCGGATTCCACCACTTCCATGTGCATTCACCAATTCAACTGCTCCTGTGGAAATAGTTACATTGGGCGTACAATAACGCAGTTCCATTGTCGAATTTCTGAGCATCACCCATCATGGTTGAACAAGGGACAAATTAGAACAATAAAGAGATCCATACTTCCTCATCTACTTGACACAGGATATCAATCAAGTGGATACTAGAAAAGCTTCGAAAATTATTCATTACATTCCAATTAATTTACCACCACATGGATTACGCACTCGCTTACTTCATATAGACGGGGCAAATGGAATTCACCTTTACAAACAGGTGTAACCTTTGTATTCAAAACAAGTTTGTTCGACCACTTTCATTACCATGGACGTCAACATGATGTAACTTCTAGTATTACTTTACTTTGTATACCCCTTCCCCCCCCCCTTATTATTTATTACGTAATCGCTTATTGTGGATGACAGAACACTCATTGAAGTCACTCCATTTACCGAAGAAAAGTTTGTTTCATATTTCCAATTATAGTGACTCTGTTGATTATTTACATCATTATTTCTAAAACATCACCAGGTGATTGTTGATTTGATTAGATTGTAAATCGATATATTAGTGTAGAGCCGAAGATGAAGACCCTCATTGAAAAGAAATACATTTTTTTCTCTCTCTCCGTCAATCATTTAATAAAGTAATAAAACTTTATATTGATTGATGAGTGGAGGTGGAATAGAAATTTGGTCTTGGGTGGATTCGAACCAGTAACCACCTAGCTTTTGTCCCGATACTCTATCATATGTACACAACTCTCATTCACCACTGAAGTTGTATAATGAAATTATTATTCAGTAAAACAAACAATGTGAGCGAAGAAATATTTCTTCTCAATTAGTTCCTCATCAATGGCTCTACACTAATATATGTAGCATTTTCAAACGTAAAATTACATACCAATCTAGTGGTGAGAGTTGTCCAATGAAAGGTTATCAATCCTAAAGTATATCAAGAATGCGATAATTGATCAGGTAATTAAGACAGTTAACTAAAGCAAAGATTAATTATCGTAGAACGATTTTGTGAACAGGTTCTTACATAATTGATATTTTGTATAATGATAAGTAAAGAGCAAAAATGAACTGTTAAGTAAAATGGTAAATTGTTGACGGTAATTAGAGACAGTAGGGGGAGAGAAAGATGATTAAGTCTATAATAATAATAATAATAATAATAATAATAATAATAATAATAATAATAATAATAATAATAATGGAGCTTTTGAGATATTAGTTATAGTGAATTGTGTGATGAATGAAATGAAGAGTCTTGTTGTAATAAATGAGCTATACAGATGCCCAAAGCAAAGAAAGAGGCTGTACGAATCTCTTCTGAACACACAGGCTTGGCTTGTGTAGGTGGATTCCTATGGTTTCTGCTGTATGTAAAAGACGAACTCGTAGAGGATGGGTGAGGTGGCAAGGAATGTGATAAATAACTTTAAAGGCATTATGAATGTTAACTCGGTGGCCAGTGTCAATCAGATGAGAGAGTATTGAGCTTCGTGTCAGTCTGGTTTCCCACTTACTTAGCCATGAAGGATGATGCTCGGTGATTCGACGACGGACTTGCCTAACTGTACATCCAATGTTAATAGCTCCACAGGAGCAGTTGAACTGGTAAATGTACATAGAAGAGGAGAAGTCAGGGAGTCTGTCTTTAGTTCGTGTGGTCATCATCGGCCGGCTGTAGGAAACACAACATAACTTGGCGGCATTAAATGATCTTCTTATGGCATTTCTTAAGCGTTGTGTCACAACTTCGCTGATGATGTCACTTCGAAATTGTAGTCTTACGAACAAACGTATCTTGGAGACTGTAGGCATTCTAGTTTTCATATTGGATGTGTCCATATTTTTAGCCTGATCAATTATCACCTTCTTGATACTTTGAGATTGATAACCTTTCATTGGACAACTCTCACCACTAGATTGGTATGTAATTTTACGTTTGAAAATGCTACATATATTAGTGTAGAGCCATTGATGAGGAACTAATTGAGAAGAAATATTTCTTCGCTCACATTGTTTGTTTTACTAAATGTCTAAATGGGAATTTTTGCAATTTATTATATACTGGATCACCTCTTCGACACACTTGACTGTTAATTCCTGGAGGTATATTTATCGACTGATATTCATTTCATTGACGTATTCTGTACATAACCTGATAATATTGTTAGTTTGTAGACAAAATGGGTAAGTTGAAATAGAACCAACCTCTAGTCAACAGCTTAGTAAAGTTTATTCTCATCAATAAGTGTTAACAAATCACATTAATGACAATGGATGACATTCACATATTCTTTCGTCCTGTTAGGGACTCGTCAGTTAGATGTACCTTCACTCCAGTGAGTGATGTTGTTCCCACTGACATTCAAGTTCAGTACTCGTTGCTTCAAACGCTACTGGTGCACAACAGCCACCTATTGTGAAACGGGTATGATTTTGGTTTTTTCTGACACTTGGCTTTTTCCGTTGTTATATCAGTCACAGTAGTATAGCACATTGGCAGCTTACTTAAAGAATGACCAATTAGGTCAAAGATGACAAAACAGCTGATCAAAGATGTCAAGGTCACTCATTTGCATATGTGAGTGCATTTCAACGTTTTTTCACCTTAAATATTGTAAAATTCTTTGAGTTGTAGATATTTCGGTATAAGAAGTGATATAGCACTGAACCACTAACGTGATATGCATACACATATGAGGATATCCACCATTATTTACTAAGCATTCCTACAAATTTCAAAAACAGACGTTCGAGTTTAGAAATTAAATATTTAAGGTCGATATTTATAACATCTAAATGACCTAGATTTAAGGATAAGGCAATAAACTAGTGGTAAATATGTGGCCTAAAATTATTTCCTGAAAAAGCACTCGCCTGATTGGTCAATTAAGTCTACGCCAAATTCAAATATGATTGGCTGTCAGTCAAGTTAAATTTAGCCGTCGGAGGAACCGATGAGAATGTTATAACCACGCATTCAAAAGTAGTTTACACGAATTGACTTCGAACTCCAGAGATAATGAATGATTTTAAAGGCCACACTAACAACCACTGAGATGACCAATTAGGGTTCAGTATCCCATGTTAAACATAGCTTCCTGGTCAAATAAAGAAACCTAACTGGCTATTTAGGTTGTTGCTAGGGTGGCCTTTAAAGCCACTAGACAGTATGGAGGGATTTTAAGAGTGGTTTTAAAGACCACTCTAGTGACTGGTGCGATAAGTGTTAATGTGGCTATTTCAAATGCTTATGGTTTCACCTACTGGCATTTGTGTAACAGTAGAGGTGAGTGAGAGGGGAGAGGAGTGTTGAAATAAAACCTACCTCAGATCAATTCGAAATAGTGGTACCAAGTTATCTATCATCCACGGGCTTTACCAAATGAGCTAGCTTCTAAAGGGTCAAATGGATTCCAACTTATGACCTTGTTGGAATCGGTAAGTGAATAGAGTTGTTTACATTATGAAGTCAATGGATCTATAATAATGATTATGCTTGTATTTCTAACTCTGTTGTTTTTTAAATTCCGATTTGAACAGAAATGAACTCATCCAGAGAAAAATCCATTTCATATTTGTCTAATGAACAAAAACAAGAGGAAATTGGAAAGACTGCAGCACCTAGCACATTTTCTAATCATGCTACTGAACCAGATGATATAAAGTTAGAATCAATAATCCGTATGATGAATACAACTTTTGAAGGTCAACATTTGTCCAATCATGTACAAGGACAGACTTATCCATATACTAAACTGCGTAATTCAAATTATGTGTGTAGAAACTTGGACATTGATTCGACAAGTCATCTAATACATGGATCACAACGGCAACAAGAACTGTATCAACGCGGTAGTAGAATAGAAGAGGAGTTACCTTATTTTGGCCATGAAAAATGTGTCTGTTTCAATAATGGTAAGATAGATGCGGCAGAAGAAGACAAGTTACTCAGTGACTTATTCTTTATATGTAACTAAGTTGAACTGTGATTAAATATGCAAGAATCGATTGTTTATGTGTGTTTATTTACTCAAAGAGTAAACCTACAACCATCTCCAATTTCTGATTCACTATATCATGAAGAAAATGTTAGCAAAGGGAAAGATTTCAGTTGTTATTTTCAATATGATGCGGTTACAAGTTTAGTGGGGATAAAGAATAATAGCGATAACCAACCGGATGACCTTGAACAGCCAATGACACTGTTCGAATATCAACCAATAGTAAGACAGCAGCAAAGAATAACCTCATTAAATTCGTCATTTCATCCATATACTATTTATCAGTTTTGTTGAGCCAACAGAGTTATTGGAGGATAAAGTAGTGATGACCTGGTGTTTGCTGAGCCTTCAGATTTTATTGTATAAATTATATTGCTAGGTTTAGTGACATCATAAGGAAGTGAAGCATACTCATATGTTACATGAAATGTTTAAAGAGTGTTTTTGTTAACTATGAGAGTTGTCCAACTAACTGTAAGTTGAATATACTCCACTTGTTTATGCATTTAGTATCTGAGGGTGTCATTGAACGCCATAACAATACTTTTAAAATGGAATATCAAGGAATACTAAGCTGTGATCATTCTCATAATAAGCTAAAACATCTTCACCATAACTGGATAAAGTAAAATGCATTCTAACAGTGGAAATATCACCATTCATCTTTAGGATATATTCAGGAAAAAGCGAATCATTTCTTTCTCAAGCGGTGGTATGTACGTCAACTTCTGATTACTTATTAAAGGAGGAGTATACTACGCTGAAGTCCATCCTGTTTTGTTATTCGGTTAGGAAGTAGAAGATATGAAATGGTTACAGGGTTTTGGTCTACGATGTCTTCATAGCATTACTCGTCTGTGTTGAGGTTAGACGAAGCGTTCTGAGTGAGGTAAGCAAGTCGATTGATAAAGTTGTGAACCTGAGGTGACTTGGGGATGTGTTGTACCAACCTCGATGTACCATGCTAACACAAGTTGGGTAACATTTTTTAGACGAAACAGAGTGATGAGACCAATATATTGCACCAGTGTGTAGAAGGCCCTGACTACTATTAATCTGAGACGTGTGGAGAGAAATGCATTGTCTCACTAGTGTCTCCAAGACGATATAAGTGAAACAGTGGTTGGGGACGTCTGGTAACATGACTGGAAATCAGTCACAGTGACGCAGATATATTCACTCCTTCACTGACATCTTCTAAAACGGGAAAATTTGCACTAACCTTCTACTTTAAATTGTTCATTCTGTCAAACAACTATGCCTACTTCGATATGAGCCTTTTCCTCGCCACCTTTTCTTTGTATACTACAGTGAAATGTGGAAACTTGAGCCAAGGTACCTGTTTGCTAGGTTCTACGTTGACTTTTTCTATCTATGCATACTGATTCGGTTGAAGAAATGGAGTAGAAACCTTGAGAATTGAATCCAAGTAAGAGGTGGCTCTTCAAAGGAAATAGTTTACAACCACTTAGAAGAATAATTGTGCAAAACGTGATTTCACTTTACTAATCCAATCCCAGAGATAGACCAAGGAAGTCTCTTACATTATGCATAACAAAATTAACCTGGATCAGTTCGATCCAGTCAACAATGGCAATTTAAAAACTGCAATATTCCATCTATGCTATATGTATGGTACAAGAAGTAGCCATCGAGTCGAGAAGAGAAGCACATCACTCATCCGCTGGGAGGTAGATAGGTCCAGCTGACAAGTCAGTCATAAATAGGACGAAATAAGCGTCCTGGATTCCACCACTAGCCACTATCGATCATTAGTATGGAAATTAACCCAGTTCATAGGATTTCTCCCCTTCCGCTCTTTATAAATCCACTTATTCTCGTTGGAACTACTTTCCAACATTAAATGGTTCAGATTGGTTGTTTCGGGCGAATTTATTTGTTTGCTTGTATTCTTTAACTCTATGAGTATTATATTCATCTTCTCATCTCTTTTTCCTGTACTGTTTCTTAAAAGTAATCGGTTTGCAGAGAATTACTTCACTTTTAGATCATTACATCATGGATTGATATACGAATGGCCATAAAAAACTATTCGGTCTAGTTCGAAACTCTTCAGAGATGCACACTTATAACCTCGTATGGTTTTGAAATTGGTGAAAAATATTTACAACTCAGGTGGATGGTCTTGGTTATATTGTGTTCACTGGTCTGGGTTGTTTAATCGTTGAGACGCCATCATCGTCTTTCTCCTAGACGACATCATCAGCACTAACTTCACTATGAACTGAGCTGTCATAATATCTCTCCGTGAGTGATTAGTGATTTAGTAGCTTGCCATGACCAACTGGTTTGTGATTGGTTGTCTCCTTTGATTGTTGTGTCATCGACTGACTGCATAGATTTTCCTGTTTGCTGTTCCTCTGCTTCACCTCGTTTATCATTTGCCTCATTGGTTGATAGATTCGGTCTATGTCTAAACATCTGTTGATTGCTGACTGAATGCCATCTTCTAGGAATTCTATGATGATATTCTTTGTGTTTCATCTCTCCGTACATGATTTCTGCATTGTCGAAATTGAATACATGTCCATAGTTGTTATCCACGTGCATTAGCGACGAGGGATGAAATATTGTGTGTAAGGTTTAATAGCCAATTGATGTTCATGTAGACGAAGTCGAGGAGGGCGACCACTTTGTCCAATGTAGTGTTGACTACAGGTATTCCAGTTGATTTTGTAAATGATGTTCAGTGTATCTTCTTTGGTTGTTGCATTCTTTCGTCTGCATAATAGTGTTTAGAGGGGATTTGTTGGTTTATGAGGTGCCACACCAATTCCAAGTGGTTTCAGTAATCTTGTCGTGATCTCTGACATATCTCTTATGTACCGTAGGATGATGCGTTCATGGATTTGTGTCGATGACTTTGTAGTTGATGATGTACGGGATAGGCACCTTCATCGTCTTGTCAGACGATGAAAGCTCCACGAGTAAATAACCCAACTCAGAGAATACAATACAACCAAGACCATTCACGTAAGCTACAAATATTCTCCACCAATTTCAAGTGGAATTTGAAGCCCCTGGAGTGTTATCATACAAACGGGTGACATCAGAAACCCTACCCTACCCCTATAAAGGTAGGAATTTGAGTGATATTCATATCGAAATGAGTGATGGAATGTTGTGTGTGAGGATTAATAGTCAGTTGGTGTTCATGTAGACGAAGGTGAGAGACCACTTTGTCCAATGCAGTTTTGACTACAGTTATTCCAGTCAACACTAGGAACCCAAGGGACAAATGAATGATGAATGAATTGGCCAGCAGTGGAATCCAGCTTAACTCGCATTTCGTCCTATTCTGGATTCAATAACCAACTGGATGATTTCAGCACCGGCACTCGAACTCAGAACTTATAGATCCGTAAAATGAAAGAAACATGAACTGTACAATACCTTAACTGTAATAGTTTGTGTTCCGCCAATTTTAAACGTGGGCTAGTCAAAACACTTTACAACAGAGTTAGAAACTTATATTTTGCGAACAAGTTAGACGAAGGAAAACTAAACATTATTGAAGAGTGTCTCGAAGAGAATGAATATCCGAAGAGATTTACTTATGAAGTATGGAAAAGAACAGATAAACAGAAATAAACACCCAAATGTGAAGAAGCAAGTTTTTATTCACCTTACATTTGGGGAAGATGTAGCACCTAGGCGAATAAATGCAGGAGTCAAAGGAGCATTGAGAAAGAGCTTTTCTGAAGCAAAAGTTGTATCAGTATACAATTCTGTATGCTAGCTAAACTGGTCATGTTTGTATAAGTACTCGGCTCTGTCACCTCGAAGTGTATTTATGAATTCACAAGCCCTTGAGGTAGTAAAGTAGGTTGAAAGGATAGAGAGGAGGGTGTCCATTCGGTTCGCTAAGCCCATATAACCAAGAATGTCTGCTTGAAAAGAAGTAGAATTCTGACCACTACAATTGATAGACACCATGTAGACACAGGCCATCAGATTGAAACCTCGAATGCTTTCAAAATAATTACAAACCTGAAGAAAATGACTGGATTACTGCAGAAGTGACTGGAATAAAATGCTCTAAGCATGACATTTGGATACCGAAGGAGATTGTGGTTAATCTGTCGCACTCCGTTTGTGACTATGATTTGATTCTATTTCTTTCCTGGAGGCTTGCAGAAGTCTATTAATTGATTTTAGGTTGGAATTCATCATGAACTGTCATCGATTGGAGAAAAAACAGAAACCTGGAAGCAAAGGACAGCTGTTTCGTCCTTGTATGGAAGTCCTCAGCAGTGCGCACCCACGACCCCAGCCCGCCAGGGATCGAACCAAAGACCTTTAGGTTCCGTGGCCATCACGGTACTGGGTTCGATCATGGGTACGCACTGCTCAGAAGTCCCGTACTAGTCGGACGAAAGATAGCCATTGATCCCAGGTTTTCAATGTTCCTCCAACTGATGTCAGCCCGTGATGAATACCAACCTGAAATCATGAAATTCCCACAAACCTACAAATTGAAACGCTTTAGTACTTATTGGTGATTCCCGAAGTTTCAATGAGAAGTGGTGACCGGTGGGGCCAACCAAGTCGAACATGAGGACAGTTACTCAACCGCGACATTTGATGTAGGTAGCGCTATATTATGAACTGACAGAAGTTGGAAGTATGGAACATTAGATTACGACCCAGTGGATAGCTCAATGATAACTTGCTGGCGACGGAACCTGAAGGCCCTGGGTTCGATCCCTAACGGGATAGGGTCAGGGGTATGCACCGCTGACGACTCCCATACTAGTCGGACAAAACAGCTGTCAAATGTTCCCAGGTTTCCAACATTTCTTCAACTGATGACAGTTCATGATGAATTCCTTTCTAACATTTCTTGCCCCTTTTGTACAATTATTATTTCTCTTACATGTTATATAGATTATCAATGATTTCCTTGTATAACTTAAGATTATCGATTTCTTGATTTTAAATTATTATATATGCTA